AACCCTCAATCTCGTCCCTAAGGATATATTAAATTGGGCTTCTCGTATATGGGCTTAACTGTGGGCCAAGCCCTCTCCGCTCATATACAAATAGTACAATCATTCTACTAAAGTAGTATTACTGAATAAACTCTCAATTTATATTCTGAATTATATTCGAGTCTTTAATAATTATAACTCGATTTATCTCCTCGTGTTTAAGATATAATGTCCATCAATCAAGAATCAAGAATAAATTGACTTCTTGAACCGAGACTAGTCCCAGTCAAATCTTTATTATTATTTCAGAAAAAATTCCACTATCCAGATTTAACATAATAATCCTTTATGAGCTCATCTCGGGAACATCATCAAACTATCGCACACGGTGACCGTAAATATTCGAACAACACACCATACATATAGCACTACTACCCAAAACATGAAGACTATCGACCAAACAGAATGGATCTCTCTTTTGGTGAATCAAAGTAGCAGCACTGTATGCACATGCCTGTTTGTATCTTATGTGTTAAGAGTATGCAGTAATTAACCGATGCCTAGTTTGTTTACGACGATCAGTATAAAATGAACTTCTCATCTCTGGGATCCGTTCAATGCACACACAGTGCACTAGCGTAATTAATTAGTCAAGAGTCAAGACCAACTGTATGGTTAACACTACAACCGTTCACGAGGGGTTGTTCATTTCCATCTAGATTGTGAACCAAACATTCTTGTTTCGCAAGTAACTGATTAAATAATCTTATGTTCACCCGCTAATGAACTATTTTATTTAAGTGCAAACAATAGAACATAGATTGTTTAATTAAACATGATTCTCATTCAAACAGGACTTAGTGTAAATAACATTTAAAACCAAACTTTTAATATATACACACCAAAAATTCACATAAGACACTAAAATTTCCTCCAAATTAATCTAAGCAAAATTCTTAAAAAGAATTTCAACATCGCTTAGAAAAATTACCACACTTCGGGAATCTACAAGCAAAGATGAACACGAATTTCTGATCAAAGCCTCGGCCACTCCTCGGCACGGCGTCGCCCGGCAATGTACGGACAGGCCACGAACAAAGGCTCAGTTCTCACGGCTACTCGCGGACGTTTCCTTGACGCTGGTTGCGTGTCCCTCGGTGGCTCGCGCTCGGCTCAGCAAGGCGTGCGGTAGCGGTCTCGGTGGCTGGCTGTGCGATTCTCGTCACCAGAGGAATTTTAGAGAGGGTGAGGGATACTTTGCTTGCTGGAAAAATGATGAAAGCCGAGAGGAATACTAGGTTGAAATTTGAGAATCTTTTACTTGGAAACAAAGGAAATAAAGTGCCACAAAATGCTAACTCTCGGTTACAAAGAGGAGGAGGAAAAATTTGCTATTAAAGATCATAAATCAAGGCTTTAATTGGGGAGTTACAACTTTTTTTAATCTCTTATTCCTTCCCCTGGCATTGACCGGGTGTTAGGAGCTTAAAGACCAAAGAGAATGGCTAGGTGAGGTACACAAGGAAGTTACAAATTGAACATAAATTCTCCAAGGGAGTTACAAAAACTTTTGAATCCAAAATGTTCTCGCATTTGCACTTGGCCGAGAATGGGTGATGATGAGGCCGAGCTATTGGGGTTTAAAAAATGCTAGCTAAATCATGCTTTAAATTCTAAAGGAGTTACACAAATTATTTGCACAAAAGGTGAAACCAAACTAGCTAAAAGGTAATGTTTGGTATTAGGAAAAGAGGTTGCACTTAGGATAAAATTGGACGAATTTGCTTAGCAGAAACAATAATAAAATTTGGATCAATATAAGTAGATGTGGATATCTACAATATAAATTAGCTTATTAGAGAATTAGTCGAGCAACAAAACAAGTAATATGAAATGCAAACACTAGAATAAAATAAACCGACTTTTATTCTTCGAACGGGACACTACACCAACCAACACACAACACAACAATAAAATAGTAATAATAAAAAATCTACATAATATTTAAGAAAAAAAAAGTGTAATACAAAATAAATTTTCCCTCTTTCAATAACTTCACATCATCTCTCCTAGTGGAATCTATCTATTATATATAAAGAGATAACCTAAAAAAATCCTAAAATAGTAACTAAAAAATAATTAGAAATCTCGCCTAAATATTTACTAAACATAATAATGTTTTTGAAAATTTTGAAAAAAAAAAAAATTCAAACATTTAAAAGAAAAGTTCACATATAGATTTTTTTGGATACATTCTATTTTATCTTAACTTTAATATAATCTACCACATCATGAAAAAGTATCTACTTATAAGGAACAAATAAAATATTAGGCTTAATATATTTAATATTGTCATAAAATCGAATTTATATGATTTTATTTTTAATTATTATGAGATAGGATAAATTCTAAAATTTGAACAGAATGCATATATAGCATAATATTTATTTAAAGTTTTTTTTTATATATTTTTATATTAATTATATCAATAAATAATATTAATATAAATTAAATACTTATCATTATATTAAAAAAAACTACTTTTATAATTGCTATAACTAATAATAATGAAACTATATAAGATTAAATTTTAGATTATTTAAGTTTATGATAAATAATAATAAATAAAATTATTATTTCTATATCAAAAGATAAATATATATTTTGAAATATTATTTATATTAATATAAATAGGTCAAGGAACTAATACATTATTAAAATAAAATTTAAAAAAAAGGGTTTAATATACAAATCGGTGCAATGCTATGCTTGGATACAAAATTTATCCAAAAAAAATCAATCATTTTTAATTCAACTATTTTTTTAATTCAATTTTAACTCAACTCCATTATCATCAATATTATTAATATAATTAAATAATATCAATCAATCATTCTTATACACCACATCAACCTTAATTCACTATTCATCCACTCACATATTTTTAACTAACCATCACTTCAAATCATATCTCTCATATTTTTATATCAAATCAACTTTAATTATTTTATTTTAAATATTATTTAATATACCCACTAACAACTAATCATACCACATTTTTCAAAATTAACCAAATCAAACAAAAACAGATACAAACAAATCAAAAAGTTTTTATATCCAAGCATCCCTGGTTCGGAATATAGGAGTCTCTTGTTGAGGGCTAAACTGAGAAATTCGGAATTGCAAGTTAGTCATGCTACAAACAAGAAGAAATGGAAACTAGTGGAAACTTCGCGTGATAGAATCGTAGGTAACAGATAAAGGAGCCTCTTTATTTGTGATCTCATCTGTAGATTCCTTCCGTGGAATTGACGTTGGAGTCCATATCATCATGTGTTTGTTTATCGCTTTTATTGCTTATGTCGAAGGTTTTATTTTTATTTTTTCATATTGAGCTATCGATACATATGAATGAATTGTTGGTCGGGATAATTGTTTGATGGTTTGTTGGGTAGTTGAATTCATTGCTCTTAATCTGATTATTCGAGCTAATTGTAACTTTTGGGGTACAATTGCTTTGGAAGTGACTCAAAGTTCAGTCTCTTCTTTCGATTGCATTACATAATGCCTGATTGCTTTTAAGAACTTGCTTATGGGACTTTAAAAGTAATATAATCTATTCACTTGCTGTAGAAAAATCCCTAATGCAACTCAGAGTCTAGTATGATTTCCCTATTTAGGTAGAACAATCCACTGAGCTTTTATTAGTTTTGTTAACTCTTTTTTCCTTTTCTTGTTTTCTCTATGTTCATCGATTCTTTTGTGAATTTATTATTTATTAACAATAAAATCATTTATTTGGGGCAGTGAATCACTGTTTGCTGGATTCACTCTGTTTTTAAGAGTAATTCATGTATGGTAATTTGGGTGTGATTGCAGTTCTAAACTGTCTGTAAAAAAAAAATAAAAATGGAAGAGATTAGAACTGATGGTCCTCCCATGTCATCACCCTTAGCCAAATGGAGGATTGACTTCTCGAGGGCTTTTCACTATTATCTGGACAGATCTGCCCCTCATACAGTCAACAGGTGGCTCGGCACACTTGCTGCAGCTTCTATTTATGTCTTGCGCGTTTATTATGTGCAAGGGTTCTATGTGATCTCATACGGCCTAGGAATATATATCTTAAATTTGTTGATCGGGTTTATGTCCCCAAAAGTTGATCCAGAGCTTGAAGCGTTAGACGGGGCTTCTTCGCCGATGAGAGATCCACATGAGTTTAGGCCCTTCATCCGCCGCCTGCCAGAGTTCATGTTCTGGTTAGATTAATAGATGGTTTACACTCTTAATTTGATGTATAGTTTATATTCTAATTGCAATCATGTGAAACTTTTTCTTGTCATCCAATATTTTAAACACCAAAAACTGATAAGGTCTTATGTATGTGTTACATGCATCAGTGTTATTTTCAAGAGAAATTTCATGCTTTGGAGATGGAAAATCATATGGATATTGAATGCTTCTGCGGGAGCTACCGAATTTGTGGGGATTTAGCATGTAGTTTCTTTGGTTTTAAATTTTAGGGTTTGTGCACGTGCTTATGTTTCCCATCTATTGATTTCTTACTATGCATATTGATTTTGGTTTGACTGATGTTTACAATTCGCTATTGGACGCGAGAACTTTCATGTATCTAATTTTTTGAAAGAAATAGAAAAATGTCAATTCTTGTCATTGTGTTTCAGTGTTTGTGAAATGCGACCCTTGTCTTTTACGACCAAAACAATGACTTATAACAACTGATATTACAGCCTAAGTTGACATTCTTGCAACCGAGAAAGTGAAAAGGTGGCATTTTTGCGTTTTGGAACTACGCCGTGGATTTTCTAGATTAAGGGTCTCATCTGGGCTAGTTTAAAGATAACAAAAGGAAACTAACTATGCTCTGCTTGGTAAAATAGTTGATTTGTTATTGGATTTGGTTGCTCGGTAACTCTTTAGCTAAATAATCAACGTAATAGAAAGCCATTGATACCCTTGAATATGTGGAAATGTTTAAAAGAAAAGAAAACGGTATTTTTTTTTTTTTTTTTTCNAGGTTAATGTTCTTTTGAGTAAGATATACCTCTTACCAGATGGTGTGCATTTTTCTGTTTTCTTTTTGAAAAGACTACTTATTATCTATTAATTTCCTTATTGCAGGTATGCAATCACAAAAGCTTTTTGTGTTGCCTTCATGATGACTTTCTTCTCTGTTTTCGATGTCCCAGTGTTCTGGCCCATTTTATTCTTTTACTGGGTTTTTCTGTTCTTCCTTACTATGAAGAGGCAAATTACCCATATGATCAAACATAGATATGTGCCATTCAACTTTGGGAAGCAGGTGAAATATCTGGTCCTTCTTTAATTAGTCCTTAAAATGTTTCAGTTGGTTGTATTTTCTCCATCTCTTTTATTAGCTTTCCATTTCATCATCTTCTTCACGCACACACACACACACATATTAGTTTTAAGTGGCCATTTTCTTTCTTGATCTTAGCACTGGCTATAATGACTTAACTAGCTTTTGTGCAATGTCGAACAGAGGTCTGCCGGGAAGAGGTTTGCTAGAAGTGCTAGTGGTTCAAAAGAGTTATGAAGACAAAGACACATTGATAAATGGAGTTTGTACTAACGTCATGATGTTTTTCTGGCGACACCTATGACCTCAGACACGTGCTTACAGTCACACTTGTAACTAGCTAAAATAAACAAATGACTAACACAAGGACTTTTGATTGCAGTTTTCTATGTTAATGTTCTATGCAACTAACATTATTGTCATGTATGCTTATTTTTCTAGTTCTATTTGTACTTTTATTTTTTCTTCTTGAGATGGGTATTGTGTTTTGAGTGTGCGGCATAAGTTTAGCACAACAATATCGAATGTCAGAAAAGAACAATTAATTCCCTGCCAAAATGGGTTTGTCTCAGGTTTGGAATATTCTTATTTCCCTCGTGGACAATTCTTCTTCAGTGAGCACTATGATTCAAACCACTGAATTTTTTTTGATGTGTATGCCAATCAAAATTTTCTTTCGTTTTAGACTTTGCAGAACCTTTGTCAGCCCACCGAAAATGACTTGTGGCCGACTCCCGGTTTGGAGGTTCTGGAATCTCAGAGGTATATCTGACTATCTCTCACAAGGTATATGAATTAAAGGTTGTGTTTTTCCAGTTTCATCAAGATTTTTTTTTTAAACAAAAAAAAAAATTGTCCATGTTGGATCTATTATTTCACGGGTGCTGCCAGAACAAGTAGTATGTTAATGTTTTGTTCTTGTTAAGGTTGTTATTATGCTGACACATTATTGAATCTCTTGTGACTTTTATGTTTTGCATGTTATGTCTAGTTTCTGCTCTTTTTGTTGTAGCTACGTCCTCATTGTTTATTTTTACCTCTTTCACATTCTTTCCTTTATTGTATTTGTCTAGTCTCCATTTGTTTTGGAAGAGTATTTTCAATCTTTTGTGAGTTTAATGAGACTGCTGAAAAATATGAATACTAGAAGGGCCTCTGAGATATTAATTTAAAAGGAATTAAGGCGTTTCCTTCTTATGTTTTGTTGGTAGAACAACATAAGGCCAAAGAAAATTATGGACCCAGTTTACTAATGAAGGAGAATAAAAGATCATAGAACTTAAGTTAAAGTGCAAGTATCAGACAATGTACATCAAAGTATCGCATGAATACGTACAAGGGTTGCAGTAGCACTACGGTGTGCCCTGGCACACCTAGCTAGGTGTGCCAGGGCAAATTTGCACGCGCCATCTCACCTCAAAAAATTAGAAAATTTAGAGAGTGTAGTGTACATTCCTATTTTTTTTTTTTTTAATTGAAAATAAGACATATTACATAAATTAAAATATCATTAATTATTTATATTAAAAAAATAAAATAAAAATACCAAAATTCATAATTTTTCATTATCTATAAATAGAGACCACATTTGATAGGTTTTTAACACAACTAATTTTTTGTTTTTTCGTAATTATTTTATTATACTGACATATAATGAACATGTTACATAACAAAATGAATATGTTTTCAAATAAGATGAACATGTTACAGATTGCAGATTGAAATAATACATATTCATCTTATTTTATAACATGTTCATCTCATTTTGGTAACATATTCATCTTATTTTATAACATGTTCACCTTATTGTGCATGTAACATGTTCATCTTATTCTATAACACGTTCATTTTATTATGTAACATGTTCATCTTATTCTATAACATGTTCATTTTATTATGTAACATGTTCACCTTATTGTGTATGTAACATTTTCATCTTATTCTATAACATGTTCATTTTGTTATGTAACATGTTTATCTTATTCTATAACATGTTCATTTTATTATGTAACATGTTCATCTTATTCTATAACATGTTCATTTTATTATGTAACATGTTCATCTTATTTTAGAACATGTTCATCTAAATTTCATCTGTGAAAATGTAACATTTTCATCTTATTCTATGACATGTTCATCTTCCTCTATAACATGTTCATCTTACTATGCAACATATTCATCTAATTATAGATTTACGTCATAATCTTCCAATAAGATAAATTAATTGTAAAAAATAATAAATTAATTGTGTTCCAAAAAATATCAAATGTGGTCTCTATTTGTAGAGAATGAAAAATTATGAATTTTGGTATTTTTATTTTTATTTTTTGATACAAAATATGAATGATAATTTAATTTATATAATATGATATATGAAATTCGTTACCCAATAGAAATGGGACACATGTCCCATTTAAAAAAAAAAATACTCTACCTCCTTACCTCACGCGCTTTTGAAGGAGCTGTATTTCACAAAAGGCCATGGCACACCTAGGAAGGTGTGCCCTGTATTTGCGCAAGGGTTGACCTGGAGAAATCAGTTAGCACAAAATTATTGACTTTTATGTTATCGGTAAATTTTAAATTCTGACAAGGGTTGATTCGGAGGAATCAGTTAGCTCAAAATTATTGACTTTGAATCAATTAGCTCAAAGTTGTGACTTTTATATTGATTGTTGTCTGTATATTTGAAATTCCAAACTTATCGTGCCATTTTTCACCTTGAGTTTTCGATGGACTGCATAAATCTATCCTTTCATCATCCAGATGTCACAGATTCTAGATTTCACATTCTTATGTAAATATATACCCTTTTGTTATTGAACCATAGTTGATTGTTAGGTTAAAGTAAAACAAACTTTAGCCTATAATCAAACTATCCTAAGAAAATGCTTAATTTTATCTACCATTCATAAATGCAGCGCCTTAGTTTTGCATCTTTTTTAATTGAGTTTTCAATCATTCTCCATCTTAATGTATTGAGATCCAACTGAGCTTTTATCAGCTGATCTTGGATCAAGTTTTGAGCAGTTTTGTTGACGTATTTATCAATGAAATTCTGCAAACAGTTGAACATATTTATCATTAGTCCCATTTTCCCAGGATACCATGCATAAGCAAACATTTATAGTGCTCTTTGGATAGGGGCAGATCTAGCAAATATTATGAGCAGGGGCCTAATTTTTTAATTAAAAAATTTAAAATATTATAACGAACACCAAGTCTCGATTTTTCTTTCCAAGATCTGAATCTCTCCGTAACAAAAATTTCCCCTCCTGATTGTTCTCTAATTGGTTTAAAAAGATAGCAATAGAGACAATATGTAGCATATGTAGAAATGGAAACTTCAACCCCTTGTGTCCAGTAAACCAACCAGCTATAAATCTTCTGGCCTTTAGTAATGACGTTGAGGCTTTCGTCATTGGAAAATGATGATCAAACGGTTGACGAGGACCTTTAATTATGCAAATATGCTCTTCGAACTTGGTCCCTAACCGTTGGACTGTACCGTGAGATTGGAATTCTCAATACGGGATCAGAGGGAAGTTGAGAAGAATCAAACTCTCCGATCACCATTGAACTTTCGGTTGTAGTTTCTTTTTGACGAGTGATACCGCAATCTCCCTCAAATCTATTGGATTCAATGTATCTCCTTTTGAGACATTTTCACAAACAATTTGTTGACGTGGGCTTTTTTGAAAATATCTCTCAATGTCTGATATACAAAAATAATATTATAAATTAACAATGAATAAAATTATTTATTTTGACATATAACACTTTAAAGAGCTATAAACACCTAAAAATTGTTTGAATTTGCAATTTTTACATAAAAAGAATATATTTACCAATACTTAAAAAATAAATAAGAGTAAATTTTACATCCACCGAATTAAAGAAGAGTGATTTTTACCTTTTACAAGTCGGTTGGACGGAAAATTGATATATCCTTCCTCTTTCTCCCTTTTTTTCTTTTACTCTGTATGTCCGTCATTAGTAATATTATGTCAAATGCTTATTAAATTATTAGCTTTTCTTTTTTGTACAAAATTTTGAAAACTTCAATTACAGACCGATTATTAGGATATAATAACTATCAAGAAAATAAACTTTGTATTAGATTTTCTTTTTTGTACAAAAATTCAAGTACAGACCAATTATTAGATTACAGAAAGAGTACAAAATTTATCCTAAAGTTTTTCAATTATATCCCAATGTCAAATGCTTATTAGATTGTTATATTAAGTTAAATCATTAGTTAGGCTCATATTATGGGCTAGTAGACCAGTAGTAATAAGTGTAATATACATATACTAGGGTTCTTTTTTTTAATGTGGGCTTAGGCCCTCATTGGTCCTCATTGNAAACAAATATAGTGCTCTCCTAATATGTCTACACTTGTGTTGGTTGTTAGGATTATTACGATAGTTATCTATTAATAATGGGGTCAGTTATGAGATATGGAGAAGTATTGCATATTACTTAAAGGCTGTAACTGATTCAACCCGACTCGAGCTTTTGTGAATCTGAGTTGGGCTGCTTTTATCGAGTTGAGTTCAAACTTAAAATATTCGTCATATCATGGTCGACGGGTATTTTGTAGTTCAATCACAGTGCGTAGGTACTTGAAAATTATAATGGAAAAGGAAGGGGATATCTTTAGACCTAGATTTGGCTAAGAGATGCCAAAAGGCTTTTAAATCATGCTCACACAAACACATTTGGCACAACGGCTTTCAACAACCAAATACATAATCAGATATTCAAGTGACTTTTGGTTCTTAGCAAAATGGTATCTGACATTTCTTTTTTTGCCTTTTTTTGCAATTCTGTTATGACTTTTGGCTCTTGGCAAAATGGTATCTGGCATTTCTTTTTTTTTTTTTCCCGTAAAACAAAGCATAAGGTTGGATTTCGACGAATGAAACATGTTGTGTACGGTCACGTTGCCACGTGGCATCCATGTAGTTTTTTTTAAAGAAAAAAATAAAAAATTGCACTTATCAGTATTACTTTTTCAAAAACTGTATTTTTTTTCCATGACTATAATTTATTTCTTGGCGAAATAATACATGATATTTTATTTTTAAAAATATAATTTTTAATATAAAGTTATTTTTTCAAATCAAATTGTGCACTTACCAAAATATATATGTATAAATCTGTCGGGTACGAGGTGCAGAGAGTTTTTATCGACACGTGCAAGTGAGTGGACATCATCTTCGCCCAGTGCCTCAAGCAGATGGAGCTCAATGTAAGCATCGTCCCACTCTACACAACCCTCTACGGATTCAATGGAGGTGAGGTCATACCACTAGGAGAGCTACACCTGCCAATTGTCCTCGGAAGATCGGAACTAAAGAAGGTTAAGATGGTTAGATTCTTGGTGGTAGACGACAACTCATCATACAAAGTCATTCCCTCTATGGATTCAATGGAGGTGAGGTCATACCACTAGAAGAGCTACACCTGCCAGTTGTCCTCAAAAGATCGGAACTAAAGAAGGTTAAGATGGTTAGATTCTTGGTGGTAGACGACAGCTCATCATACAATGTTATTCTAGAACGACCCAACTTGAACTCCTTTCAGGTTGCAGTATCAACATATTGCATGAAGATAAAGTTCCCATTTGGTAACCAATTTGGAGAGGTGCGGGAGATCAAAGGCAGACCATGTCGTGTTGTGAGATAATGCTGAAGAGGGCGGAGGCCCAATGCAAGAAAAGAGAGCGGGATATCGAGCACCATGAGATCTCGAATAGCACAAAGAGACAAGAGAAAGCTGAGATCCCTCCCCAAACCGATCTAGTGGATATCGGGCTCATCGATGGGGAGGATGATAGCTCGGACCAGGTATGGCTGCAGAGAAGGCCTTTGAAGTGAAGTCCGGTAGTCCTATGTTTTTTATGCTTTCTTTTTTTTTTAGCAATATTATTTATGTCTATTGGATAAGTTTTTTCCGCCTAGCCCAGCAGGCAGAACTCAGAGCTCGAGCTCGGGGCCGGACGTCCCAGAACTCAGAAATCGCAGCTCGAGGCCGAACGTCCCAGCTAGGTAGAACTTCGAGCTTGCAGCTCGGATGAGAATAGAAAGCATCGATTGATATGGAAAACGTTGGAATTGCATGGGGTTGCAATTGTATTATGGAAAATTGGCCGCGCGCGAGAGGCATGTTTCGACTATAGCGGGAATTTACCGAAGACGAGTTATCATCTTCAGAAGAATTAGGCATATTAAAATTGGGAAAATTTGGGTTTCTGTCAATTGAAATGCAAGGTAAAACAAGAGTTTTCTTCAGTACATTGTTTGAGTTTTTCATCAACCAAATGCTTGGTTATATAGTACGTATTAATTATTATTAATAGAATAAGTTAAAAAATTATCATATTTTAGATAAGATAGGAGACACACGCTTCTAAGTTTTTTTTTCAGCTTTTTCTTTGAAATGACAACACATGTTATTATTTTAATGTATTATTATTATTATTAATAGTAAATATTTTTTATGTACTTTATAATTATGAATAAAAAAAATAAAGGTATTTATTACACATTCATGAATTGATCAAAATACTACTTCTAACACAATTAAGCTCATTTCAAATATGCTCAAAAAGGTTGTGTCTAAGTTGATGATGCACTTTGTAACTTTGCAAATAAAATTTATATATATAAATTTCTAATTCATATTAAAAGGAAGGAATAAATTTATTCTTAGATTAATTTATATTAAATAAAAGTATATATATGTTAAACATTGCAACTTTCATATTACATAATAGATAGGTTAATTACTAACATCACCAAAATTCTCTTAATTAGAAAAA